TTACAAAGGCATGAGTGTTGACAAATCGCGCGGGAACGTTAATAATATAGTAAATGATACTATCCAAGTTTCTATTAAATTGTAATGTCACCATCAATATACGTGGCAACGCTATCCAAGTTCGATTTACAAAACAGCTTTTTTCAGACAAGTACAGTGTAATTTGGTATAGATTTAATTAAAACAGAGAGAAGAGTAGATTCTGTATCAATGACAATGGCTTAGGTAGAAACATACCCCGCGACCACATACTCGTTTGATAGGCAAATCCACCATTTCGTGGCGCAGACTTAATTTCTAAGAACACAGGTCATTAAATCGTGGTAGACTAATCTGACCACACACAGAGATACAGGTACATAGAATAGTTTACAAAGTCATCAAGGCCAAAAATCCCGCGGGTAAACAATAAAATCCTCTCACGCCGCCCATTATGAAGTCGGAAGTAAACACTTTCCAATTTTCTGCCAAAACGAAAGGTATGAGTAATACTTGTTTTAAATGCCATGAAGCTAATGAATCACTCCTTAAATGTCATTTTTCCTAGTAAGCTGTAAATCCAGCATGGATTATGTCTGATTATCATCTTCTCTTATTATTGTGAACTTTATGATCTCACGACTAAATACTGTAGCACACCAGATGGGGTGATAGGCTGTCACATTTATCACAACCTCAAATGAAGGTAATTGGGCTGTTTAAGGTCGTCTATTTTATAGTTTTGTACATGTAGAAGGTCTCTGGTCTTGAAAACAAAATGGTTGATCATGAATTAGTCACACCTTTCTTATACAGTATAAAGATGGTGCCCTAAATTCTTCTCATCTGTCTCATGTTAGAATACACTACAATTCCCTTTAGAAAATGCGTAAATCGTTCATCTTGACTACAAAAAAAATGCACGATTAATACACATATTTGACAGGAGTGATTAATGGAAGTTCTGGACCCTCTGTTTCTCAAAACACATGGTTTCTGAATCTGAGGGTTCACATCAAAAAACAGGATCCCTGTAGAATCAGTTTATAATTTAAAACCATAATTAAAAATCACACATAGTATGGGAAGTTGGAAAATAGAAATTAAAAGGATTTTATGAATTTTAATTTAAAACAGAATAAAAGGCCGGAAGTTAAAAACCTCTGTAAGTGCTGTGAAATTGAAACTATACAATACCAAATATTAAGTGAATAAATGGTCATGACACTGACTGTTAGTGTGTGGGTTTGTAAGTTTTGTAACTTGCTGGTATAAGATATCACAATTGATGCTTGAACCGCGGTGAGACTCTTAAATACGAAACCTTTGCTTTGGAATTGAAAGGACAAGGACTGCGCGTTTGAAAATGTGCTGTACCTCGGATATTCAGATGTATAATCTCCACGATTCAAAAGCGTTATATGACCCCCATTTTTTAAGAATGGTGCCTCTCCAGACTGTTAGTTTGAAAAAATGAGGGTCCGGCGGACCCTGAAATGGCGGAACTCCCTGTCAGGTCATTCCAGAACATGGGCAACGCAGCGAAGACATCTTAAAAAAAAACGTTTTACAAATAAATTAACTTTGTAACTCAAGATAAATTATGTGAAATATATCTTGAACGGTTAATCCAAATATTAAATGCAGAGAATAAACTTCTTTTTTCAAGAAAATAGCCGCTAAAAGCTTGCCTTCTCCACTCACGTGTAAACAGCCTGTTACACGTTCAAAACGCATATCTTACTTGAGGCAATATATGGGTGCTTTCCCAGAGATTTAGATCGATCTAAAGATTAACTCCCTGGGGGTTCACGCTAAATTGCAGTCAGCCGAGCGCGCACCATAGTTAATTACCCCCTTACAGCTTAATCCGGCCAAGCTGACAGTAATCTAGTGAGACTCCCCACAGGGATAGATCGATCTAAAAATCTATGGAAATGGGGTGTATGTGTAAGTCGTGTCATAGTAGGCCACAACTTGCTACGTCACATGTACACGTTCAATGATGGCAGCGTACTTGTGTGTAAGATTTATCAATAAGACCTCACGTCACACGTCTCCACAACTCAATTTCGAAATATCGGAACACGGACAAATAATACACACCGAGATATGAAAGGAATGCGCCCTCAGTAGCAAAGAACTAGTGCCATATCCCTGCCTAAAAAAAAAATGAAATAAATTATACCATTAATTTTCTTATTTGGGGGTCAAACCTGCACTCAGGGCATCAAAGTACTGACAGTTACTTCACCATTAAACAACACGATACTCAGATGCCCAGACGATCGACTCCACTGGAACCCAAGGCGTAAGGCGTGATATATATTATATTCCGGTAACAATTGAGTGTCTCACTTGTTGGTTTCTCATTCCTTTCCGTGACAGATGGAGAAACGTGTGCTTTTAATTCGTGTACATAATATGGCGCCACAGGTTGCACATTTTTAATAAATTTATTAATTTGCAGATTTTGAAAAAAAAATACGCCCTCTAGAGACATACATGTAGAAGTAAAACTGTGCTATGCCATTGCTGTTAAGGCCAGCATTTTAGCTTATCTAGGCGTATATTAAAACATGCTCTGAGAAATGTTCGAACGTTTAGGATGTACATGATATATTTTACATCGGTTTTAAATAAACAAATACATACAGGGTTACTATTTAATATGGAATATTTTTTATCATTGTTATTTTTGAGTGCTGATTAATTTTTTTTTTTTGGCTTGAGTCATTAAAAAAGTATGTCACTGAGTGATAATAACATCCAGTCTTCTGTTGTGAGATATTTTGGTCAATAATATCAAATCTGACATAAGATGCCATTCAAAAGAAAGGAACATCCCCAGAAAACCATATCAATAGTTTGATGTCAGTATAAACTTTAAGATAAGATATTAAAGAAAATGATAGCTTCCGGACAGTGATAAGATTACACAGTCAAAGAACTCACTACAGTAAATCATGAAAAGTCAGTAATTTCGGGTATGACCTCCAGCAGCCGCTTGCAGCGCCCTCATCCTACATGACATACCCTGTGACACGTTTTTTAGAGTTTGGGTGGGGATATCATTCCACGCAGTGATATTTGCCTGTCGCAGTTCATCACTATTTACCGGCCGAGGACCATAGCTATTAATTCTGTGAGTTACTTCCGCCCACAGATTTTCAATTGGGTTCATATCTGGAGAGTTTGCAGGCCAGGGCAGTTGCTGAACTCATTGGTTTTGAAGAAAACCAGTGATTCTGCGGCCTCGATGTGGGGTTGCGCAGTCGTCTTGGTACACAAAGTTGTTCCTGAAGATGACTCTTACCAATCGAAGCATTGTTTGCTGTAGAATGTCTCTGTAGGAATCCTGGATGAAGTTGTCTCCTAGAAAAACCAACTGGTTCTGAGCACCGACATGAAATGCTCCTCAAACAGAGACGTTACCATCCCCTGCTTGCACCCTAGGCAGTACACAATCATTGTTTTATGCCCCTCGTACACGTCGGTGGACACGGATTCGACGATCAACCCTAAAAAATCCATATTTGGCCTTATCACTGAAAACAACGTGATTCCAGTGTTTTGGCTGCAAACGCACGTGGTCCCCAGCCCATTGCAGACGTCGCTGTATATGACCTGCTGTTAACAGAGGTTTCCCTACTGGCCTTCGTGCAAAATAACCGGCTTGCAGAAATCTCTTGTTAACGTGGGACCTTGAAACGGGCGTTTGAATGACATTCTGACTCTCTTTTCTGAGGACACTGGTTGTCTTTGTACGACCAGCACGGCGTCCTCTAATGAGAAGGCGATCCTGTCTTCTTGGTGTGATACGCGGACACCCTGGTCGAGGTATTGGAGTAGGTGCCCCTGTTGCAGCATTTCTTTGGAGGACTTCAAAACGGTTCCTGATAAATGTTGAATTACCTGGCAATGGCTGTCCGTTTCTGGCCATTTTCTCTGAGAGCAAGAATCCCATAGTAAGCTGCGTTGCTTAGCTGTCGAACCATATCTTCACTAAGGTACCTGTCAAGTTTCAGAGCGATCCCTTTGTTGCTTCTCTAAACACACTCCAAAGATTGACCAAACCCATGCGTTTTTATACAAGGGCAGAAATTGCAAAAAAGACCACCCCTCACATTTCTGACCACAGAACATGCAACTGCATGCATCAATTGTTTCGAGAGTTGTGTGATAATTAGGTAACACACCTGGCTACACATGGAGTGACACCTCAGCTTTGGATTTAAAGAAGTTAGAGAGAAATTAAATATTTTGTAGAAAATTTACTCGCCAAAAAATAATATTCCATATTAAGTGGTAACCCTGTATAATATTTATATTATCATTTCCCCATATATCTATTTTTGAAAATGATCATAATTGTCGTAAAAAACATCATCAATTTTCTCATTCACCAGATGAAAAAATAAGGAGTTGAGTTTCTCAGCCATATTTTACTTAAACGATGATTTCTTTACGTACATAATGAGTCATATTGCTTGCAAATATTGTTAATTTTTATTGGATCAAATATTAAGGCTATGTGATGAATAGTGCAGTTTAGCATGTAAACAATCGAATGAAAATAATACCTTTCATGGAAAATGCAAAATTATACATTTGGAAGTATTTGTACGTAGTAATTTCAACAAACCGATACTTCGGCCGCCAACAAGGCACTTTATGTAAAGATCTATCGATGAGAGATACATGCTTGATTTACATTGTGTACAACGTACATTAAATTAAATACACCCCATGCAAGTTTGCAAAGGTGCGAGTGTTAACAAATCACATTGGCATATGTATGTTAAATTATATTATTAGATAACACTCTCCAAATTTCCATTAAAGTGCAATGTCACCAACAACAATTGTGGCAAGGCTATCAGAGTACAATAAAAAAAAACACTTTTTTTATTTTCAGACGAATATTTTGATATAAATAAAATTTTACCAGAGAGATGGGTAAAGTCTGTATTATCTACTCATGTGACCGCCAGAAGAGGGAAATGTGTAAGTTAACAACAATGGAGGCCCTGATTAATGACGCTAGAAAGCTGTTTGGTATGTACACACGTTTGTATCAGGGGGATTTCTGGTTGGATTTTTAAGATATACAAATCACTGTTGAATTACAAAATACTCAAAAAATGAATCATATTAGGAGTCTTCGGTTCGGAGCATAAATACAGACTAAATTCACAAAAAGTGTGTGTGTGTGTTTGTGCGTGTGTTTGTGTGTGTGTTGTAACCCTGAATATGTTAGAAATCATGCAATTAAGTGAGCCAAGTAACAAGTGCGTGAGCTGTATGAAGGCTTCATTAGTACACTACCTACATGTATCATAAATATGGAATGACTAACGGATGTTATTATGTCAACAAATTCAATGGATTTTCTATTTGATTCCAATATGTATTATGTCTCTGTTAGGTTATGAAGAAGATGAAGATCTTTCCGTTTTTCTGGAAAGCAAAGGAGCTAGGGTATCTACAGAAGAAATTTTTCGTTCCATAACGGAAGAAACCACTGGTACAATAGAGCTGATGATTTTAAGACAAACCCGGGGAGAATTTTGGAGTCCGGTGGAAGGTAAGTAAAAACATATTCAATGTCGAGTGTGAATGTTTATTCAAAGCTATAATATTAGTCCGTTGCGTGGCACTTCGATAAAGCATCCTAAACATTAAATTGGTACGTTACAGTGTAAGTTAGCCAACGGTTTTTGATTGGTATACTGAAAGAGAATTGGTTGTTCCAGTACCAAGTATACTGACTAGTCCAAGCATACAGATGATCAGCATCAACCAAAGTCAAAACTTCCAAATAGGAGACAGCAACAGATTGTTTCTGACAGATTATACTAGGGATGTAGATGGTGTACAGGATGACATGTCGGTCCATGGTAAGTACTGCAACATCCATGGACGGATTAAGGAAAGCGTATTCTACCATGGTCTCCTCAAAATGGGGAGAAATGATACACACTCTGTCACAAAGGTGCATGATGCATGCATACGATGATGTAAAATTCTGTTATTTATACCACGCCCCTTCTTGCCCTGCTCAAGTTCATAATTGTTGTAGTGTAACCGTTATATTTAAATGAACGTTCTGTAGAACTCCATTTATATTAAAAATCTCTTATGCCTGATATGAAGAAAATACAATGAACTGTATATATCGAGAATACACGTAATACCAAATCACAGTTTTTCATCACTTATATTTTTCGAGAAAATATTAATTAGTATCGGTAAACGTATTCTCATTTTATACAATAAGCGTAGTTTAATTAACACTTCCTAATTATATGAGAGAATTATATTTCGTTTTTGGGTTTAAAAAGAAAAATGATGTCATTGTACAAAACAAAATTCTGCTTGGTTTGATTTATGGAATTAACTGACAAAGGGAGGGAATAACTCAAGTGTTGCATTTATATCTCTATAGGAGTCATGGAACATAAAAACGGTTATGTGTGCATGTATCACAAACGACGACATTCAATATAGGAATTCAAATGGTTGGCACTATGTCATGATCGAATATTGTCACGGCCAAATTTTCTATGAGTGCCTTATACATGCACTATCTTGATATGCGAACATTGAATTTTAACATGTGCATGTATCAGAAACCACCTAAAGCGTTTTTTAGTTCATTATATTGAGTTGAGTATTCTAAATTAAACATCATAATTATCCCTAAACTATTATTTGCTTATTTGGATAATTCTATCTAAGAAAATTAGCCAGGATTGGAAGTTAAATATGAAATAGAAATTAAATACACATACACAATATATTTGTTAGGTTCTTATGAGTCAGTTCATGATCAACTGACTCATAAAAAAGCAAGATACGTCTGTTTTCATAGTATGGGAAACACGAAGGAAAGCGTATGGCTGCTTATGTCAAAGAAAAACGATTATATTAAATATATTTTTTCCTTTATTTCAGCAGAAAATACAGAAGATATTTCAGTGATACCTGACCCGTTACTTCGACTGTATTCACTTATCTCACAGCCTAAGCTTTGGTACGAGCTAGATAGGACTGCCCGCCAGGTGGACAGAAACAAAGTTCTGGAGTACAGGGATGAAAATGGATTCAATGTTCTACATGCTGCAGCGTTTCATAATAATAGTGATGCGGTTGTCACAATATGGAGACATTTTGATTGGCCAACGCTTTCCACGCAGGTCACAAGCGGCACTATCCCCGTTGAGCTAGAAGGCTGTACTGCCAAAGAGATAGCTGTAAAGAAATGTAAGAAGAGTATAGCAAACCAAATTGATTTTGAAGAAAAAATTGAAAGTGTAATGAAACCAATTCACAAGGCCATAAGAAACCAGAGTATGGGTGAACTAAAAAATATCTGCGCTCGTGACCATACTATGGTTAATATAACTGGGCCTAACAATTTTACACCACTGCACGTTGCTGCCGGTGCAGGATTCCTAGACGGTGTGAAGCTGCTTCTCAAAATGGGTGCAGACCTGAATGCTGTCACAGAGTCTGGTGAAACAGCCCTGGGTCGTGCCTGTAGGATGGGGTACGATGACGTGGTGGAGTACCTCACTGATCTCCCGAACATCGACATCAAGAAAAGTTTGCATTCAAATATGGGAGACTTAACGTGCCTCGATGCCATAGCGATGGGTAACTTCAGAGACATTTACGACAGGCTGCGGCACCATGGTTTACCTGTGACAAGCAATACCCTGGTGTGTGCCGCATGGGGCGGTCACGTCGAGTTAGTGAAAGAAATAGCAGCAATGGACGGAATCGATGTCAATTATCAGAACAAGGACGGGAACACCGCTTTGCATTTAGCATCTAGGGATGGTCATGTAGATGTGGTTAAGTGTTTGATAAATGAACATAAGATGGACCCCAATATTCAGAACAAAAACGGAAACACTGCTCTTCATATTGCAGTTCTCAATAATGTCGGCCTGGGCCTCGTGGAATGTCTGTTAGATGAAGGTGGTGCAGATCCAACCATCCTAAATAATTATGGACAAAATCCAGCACATGTGGCAGCAAATAGTGGACAAGTACAGTGTTTGAATGTCATTCTGAGAACACATACTGGATTGATGAACAAACGAGGTGATCTCTACGAAGGAAGTCTGGTATATTTAGTCCGCGGTAAGGATAGAGGAAGACCTGCGTGGCATTATGTCCTGGTCAAGATGAAGCTTTATGAGGCCTTCTTGGGTAAACCACTAGGTGGAAGTATAAATGTGGGAGATTACGGAAAGGTGCTGCACTCAGCATGGGGAAATGATCCCCCCGATGACATTGTTAAGAAGATAACTGACAAGTATGATAAATGTAAAGACTCCGCACCAGAGGATCTTACCCCGCTCCACCACGCCGTTCTAGAACAACACCCCGCTGTGGTGGAGAAACTTCTGGAGCTTGGAGCTGCGACAGACGTCCGCGATGCGTACAAACTGACGCCGCTACACTTGGCCTGTATGCGAGGTAACAGAGAAGTTGTGAAACTACTGGTGGAAGCAGGGGCGGACACTAAGGCGACAGATGACGATGGCGACACCCCACTGGACGTGGCCAAACTCAACCACCAGGATCTCACTGTTGCTTTTATGGAAAAGGCTGTGATAGTGAAATTCGTTAAGGTAAGTGGACACTAAAGCCAATAATTGTCGATTGTAATAATGCACTAAATTTATCATTTACTCTTAGCTTCAAAATCTTTATGTTACAGTGACATTTTTTAAATTATATAGTTGATACTGTTTAAGATATTTTAAAAATTCTCTAAGAAACTAAAAGCTTGGTGAATCTTTTATCCACACAATATTAATCATATTAATAATATTATATTCTCACTGTATTCCATTGTGATGAGCCGTAGGGCTCAAAGGTTTACTGAATCCAACTACATTGAAGCCTGTCACTTCAGACCGTACTCTGACATGTCTGAAAGTTATGTGAAAAGAAAACGGTAGCATACACACAGTCACGAGTAAACTGTTTGAAGTACAATGATAAACGTTTGGCCTTGTGATAAACGGTATTGGATGGGATCGTAACAATCTAATTTATTAACGGAATAAGGATACTGTCTTGTTCAGTGATATCTTAAATACAACACTTTTTTGCATGTCTACCTCCGTTAACTTCGCATATTATAGAGAAAAATGTCAACAAGTTAGAAGATCTTGAGGAGGAATACCTAAAGTGATGCATATAGTTTTTTGTCAAAATTTTTAAATCATTAAAATGCACATTGTGGTCTTCTTACAGGATAGCATCCAACAACCTGTCAAAGAAATTATGGATTTACTAGAGCATGACCTTGACACTGACGTCACAGTTGATGAGTTGAAGATCCAGCTTCACGATATAAGTATGCAGTTTTGATATTGTCTTTGGCGATGAGTCATTCTCCATAACATACATGTACTGTATATGTAAGCTATATTCGACTAGTGGAACCACAAAGTAAAAAACTATATTCGACCAACTATATGTATTTAATCAAATAGAATTGACATGCACTTTTGCATTTACATTAAACTTAACAGAATACACTTAAGGACGGAACTCATCAACACTCATGTATTTAAACATGCAAAGTGTATACTACAATAGTTTTAATTTTTTTCCCGGCACAATGAAAGAAATGAGTGTAGTGTCAAAATTAAGTTTTTATGCTCGGTCTATCATGAGGGTTGTTTATTTCTTATGCATTTTTCTTTTTGAACTATTTATTTCAGTCCAGCGGTTGATGACGGGAGGCTTTTCTTGTTTGGCGAAACTAAATCCAGACGATGATTCTTCCAAACATTTTGAAAAGGAAACAGACACCAAGAAAACAGACGAAGAGGAATGAATTGAGGGTATTCGAACCATTAACGTGCGGTGTAAGGGTACCAATTCATTGCCCTTTTTCATAATCGATTCATACACAATGATGGAATCCTAATAGCCATTGCTAATATTCTGATTTTAGTAATAAGAGAAACACGTATAATGCAAACCTGTAAATAGGAAATGCAGAAAATAAGTTCCTACAAATAGGATTCTCTCGATTTCTTTCATCGAATGTTCCCTCATAACATGCAAGAATTTAAAATAGAAAGACCAGTAGTAATTTATGCGAAGAATAAGGTAAATTTTATTTGATTTTTTTAGGAACGAGAAGTGGGCTTCTCTTTAGCAGATGTACTACAGAAGGTTAAACCAAGACGGGGTATTTTCATAATGGCAACATTGCACTTTAGGTGTCTTCATGTTATTAGCACATTGTTTCTAAAAGTGCGTTTTAGTCTTTCTCTCTCTCTCTCTACAATAGGCAATAGTATATAATATATTCATATTTTGTGTGTATTCCTGAGTGTGTGTGTGTGTGTCTATGTGTTTTAAAAGAAATATAGGTATTTCAGGAAACGAAAAAGTTGGCGCAGTGTTGTAAATAGCTTTGAACTGTAGTTGAGAAAAAATTAAGAGCCAAATACGTTGTTGATCACCTTCCAGAGGAGCAAATATGCAGGTAGCAATTAAATGACACCGTGCCTTGCTTGTTATAGTTTCTCTTTCGTTTACATGACAGATGAAAAAGTGTGCTATTGATTTGTGTACATACTATAGCTATTTAATTATTGCCACAGGTTGCATATTTATCAATTAATCAGTCAATACAATTATTAATTTGTAGATTTTGGAAAAAAAACGCCGTGCATAAAGCTATCCTTGACCTCATTATTCAGTATTCCCAACTTTAATGGGAATACTGCAAAATTGTTTGTTTCTTTGACAAGATTTGGTGTTGTTTCTTAGAATATGCACTTGTTGTGAATCATTAATCATTTAAAATATATAATGCAGCTGTATTACTACGTGCTGTGTGATTGCTAACACGGTCTATTTTAATGTAATCCTTCAAACATCAAACAATTAGGTTTGTAGCATAAAGGTGGCGGGTATAATTAAGAGCATATTTGTAGTTGGACTTACTTCGCCGATGAGACCATTAAGCTTGTGTTAGAACATTATCTTAGAAACTGCATATTCAAAATTTAAGATTGTTATAGTATGCCGTAACATTGGTTTTATATATACGGAATAACAGTAATACGCATCATATTATATCATTTATCTATTTATTAAAATGACCAAAACAATAGTAAAAATCCACAACTTTTGCTTACCAAAAACAATTTGCGTATCCACGGGAAGAGAAAAAAATTGAGGAAATTTTCTTCCATTTTGTTTTAACAGTCTATCGATGATTTATCTTGGTGTATATTGAAAGGCATATTGCTTGCAAGTATTCTTTATATTTATTGGATAATTAATTCGTAGGTTGTATGATGGAATGTTTTTTTTTTTTCATGTAAACACAACTGGATCAAATTTTTGCCATCCAACATCCTATAGCTTACAATAAATGAAATACATTTAATGCATTTATGATGTGTGCATTTTATATTTGTCGGCCTTCTTATTTTCTAACTTATATTCTACAGACACGTTCAACGGCCAGTGCAAAACCCGTGTTTAACTTGAAATCATGTTTTTGATATCTGGATGTTTATTCAGAGATCTGAAGATTGTTGTGCGTTTACAAATCCTATATGATCAAGCTAGGGATGCTTGTGCAATTTGCGAGACAATTCATTATTCACTGTACATGTAAATATACAGTTCATTATCTACCGTGCCGTCACCTCCTATATCACAGCTGGAATTCTGCACCATGGTCTCTGTGTCTTCGAGATCAAAGTTGGAGGCGTAGATATCATTTTGCACCATTTCTACAAAATCACACGTGTCTTCTGTTGCATTTTGTAAATTTATACCGTCTTCACAACCATGTGTGTTCAAGTAACCATGTAGAATCTGATAATATGATTGAAAATATTGATTGAATTCTTGGCCTTGCACTGGGCAGTTTCACATTTGTGCCAAGTGCTTTTTTGGACTCCATTGTACAGTGGTAAAACTTCTTCAATTGCCATGAAAGTTTTTAATCAGACTCTGTATGGTGCTGCTATCTGCTGGTGCTATCGGCAACGAATTAGTTGGTACACATTCAAGAGCATCACTATTATATTGATAAAAATTGATCAATGTGAATGAATGATAAAAAGCATTTATTTAATTAATTAGTTTTCCTTGTAAATTACAGCTCATTATCTCCAGAACCATGTGCAGTAGTTAAGGAGTTTGCTTGATGTACTTGCACTGTTCCCTCCTACTTTCTGTCTTGTGGCAGTCACTAGTGGATCTACTTATTTATTGACATTGTGACTGGGATAATTATCTTCGAGAAACTATGTTCAGTGTTCTGTTTTTCACGCATTTGCCCCATATACTGATCCACGTATTATCCGACTAACCCTTACCTGTATTAACCGTATTGGAACCCTGGGATTAATTCCTCGGAATACCACTCCTGTCTCACCGGTCCATAATGCATTCGAGTTTCTGTAACATGTTTACCACACCAAGCAGTAATTTCGGCCCCGGCTCGACACTAGGGGCATGCGCCCCACCCGCAGCTTCTGAAATACCGCCTTCTAGCCCCCCTCTACACCCCCCCCAAAAATCACATATCAACATCATGCATATACAGACTTGACATTTAATATGGAATATTTTAGTTTCGAAGGTATACCTAGATAAAAATACGTTCTTTTTTCAAAAAACTCCGATCTCATATAAGATTTGTGAATGTAAAAGTGTGCAGTCAGGTGTGTCACTACCAATTAACTGACTTTCATGCCTGTTGCGCTGCTACATTATGTAATTTGCAGTGATTTAATTGGGTAGTGTTCCTTTGGGCTGATCAAAGCTTGGCTTAGGCAAAGCTTGGTTCTGTCAAAAAAGTATCCATATTTCGGCAACTACTGCATAGAAGAATTTGAAATTTTGCATGCA